GAAATAAAAAGAATATTAGAAGAATATAATATTGATATTACAATCGAAGAATATATAAAAACAGTTAAAAGAAGTAAAGGGATTAAAAAAGAAAACATAGAATACATTAATAATAAAGTAGATGACATGACTAAAGAAGAAGATAATATAGAAAATGGAAAGATTAGAGAGATTATTAGAAAAAAAGAAGGAAGAGATTGATGTAGAATACATAGAAGAGTTAATAAAGAAAAGTAAAAGAAAAGAAATCAAAGAGTGTATATACATTGAATATTATTTCAATAAAGAAGTATATGAAGAGATAATAAGATATATTGATGAAAAATGGGAATGGAAAGAAGGAGGTATTAAAGAGATACAAGAAGACGTTTACAGAATAACATACATAATAAAGAAGTATTTAGAAAACAAATTCATAGGATTTAAGAAAGAATATGAAGTAGTAATACAAAGCAAGATAAATAAACTAAAAGACATGCTAATAAGAGGAAACTATAAAAAGTTAAGAAGGATATTAAGAACAATGATTATTATGAATATTAAAGATGAATCATTTTTTATAAAATAAATAATAATAATAATAGTTGATTTTGATGTTTTATAAATTTCTTTTACCATGAATAAAATAATTTAATTATTAATACTTATTCTATTGAAAATAAATGTGGGAAACGTTTAAGGAGTTGAATATTAACTTCTTTATTGTATGTATCAAAATAAAGTTTTTCAACGGAGGAATTTAGATGAGGAATAATAGAAGTATTACATTCCAAATAAACTTCTTTCAATAGGACATCTTCTAAATTATTAATGCTAATATTGTAACAAGACTTAATGAGTAATTTCTTTAATGTAATTGGTAAAATAAATTTGTTGTCTGAAGTTTCAATCCAAAGTTCATTTAAACTTTCCCATGAATGTAAGTTGATGATAGAACTAATAGTATGTACAGAATACTGAGAAATAAGGATAAGCTTTTTTATTTTGTTTGGTGTTGAAATAAAGTCATTAATTATTAGTGGTGTACAAATTAATTCATTAGCATTTTCAATTATATTTTGCAATTGGTTTCCAACTTTTTGATGAACAGGATAATAATATAATTCATCTAAGTTAATTTCATTTACTATATCTACACATTTTATTCTTTTAATATTTTTAGCTTCAGAAAGAGAGATCATTTTATCACTCATAGTGGAAATACAAAACTGAGTTACTGAAGAAGGAACATCAAGCTGTATTTTTATAACACAACGTGTAAATGATAACCTTTTTAGTTGGTTCATTTTAGGTAATTTATTGGTTATCTTGATTGAATTAAAACAAAGATTGGTTAGATTCGTAAAGTAAGAAATATCTGCATTTGATTTAAATAAGTCTAATTCTTTTAGTTCATTATCTATTGGGATTTTTGGTATGTTAAATAGACATTGATCCATTTTTAATTTTGTACAATGAATTGGTAAGGAAGAAAGAAAAGTACAATTTATTAAAATAAGTTCTTGTAAAGAAGTTAATTGTTCTATATGAAATATGTCACTTTCTTTTAATGTTATATGATGTATTTCTTTTGGGAGGTTTAATGCATCTACTTCACATTTATCAAATGATAAACTTCTTAGAAAATCAAATTTTTTCAAATTTATTTCTTGTAAGTTAATAACATTAATTTTTGGAATATACATCTCCTTTAACAATTCCTCAAATTGAATATTTTTTTGGTACATCCAATTATCATTGACAGTTACAACTTTAGAATTAAGTCCTTCTATCCAAGAACTACAACAAATTTTAATATCTCGAATACATCTAGTACTAATATCAAGTACCTTTCTGATTTGATTTAAATCATTTAAGTCAATGACAAGTGATCGAATATTATATTCGTTTAATGTTTGAATGAATGATTCTTCAAAAAATTTTAACATCTTCAAATGAACTAATTCAAATTTATGGTTTTTGTTGGTAAAGAATTGTTCAAGATAATTAGTAGTTGTTGGTACAGAACAATAAGTCCTTAATGAAATTTTAGTTAACAAAGGGAATTGTTCAAAGTCTATAGGAGAATCATAAGTAAATAATTTTAATTCAACTATTTTTTCTTTTAATGGTAATAAAAAACTCACCTGTTCATCATCAATTTCTTTTTGTAGATAAATTCGTTTAACTGAGGTTGGTATGTAACACAAAATCAATGGAGAGAAAAAAGTTAGTTTTAATGTTTCAAGAAAAGGAAAGAATTGAAGTTCCTTGGTAAATGAATAACCAACTGATGTCATTTCTTCGGGATTGTTAATCATATTTTGAGGTTTTAATCCTGGATTTATTCTTAACATTTTAACTGCATCAAAACATTTAGAATTAATCATTTGAAATTGGTAAAGTGTTTCTAATGTCTCAAGATATAAAATGACATTAGCCAAAAACATCTTTTCTAGTGTTTTTGTCATGAACTTAGTCTTTAATAATTTAGTTTAAAAAGTGATAATTTTTAAAAAGTATAATTATTGAGGGTTTCTTTTATTTACAGATTTATATTAAAAATAAAGATCTTTTCAGATGTTGACTTTTTGGAATAAATAAAAATGGAAAACTTGTAATAAAAATAATCAGATCTGATTTGCGAAAATGACAGAGAGTAAAGAAAAGCCAGAAATCGGACATGTTGATAGCACAATTCATTATAATATAAAAGGGAATGAGTTAATAGATATTATTGAACATAGAAATAATGAAAAATATCAAAGACTTGGTGGTATTCATGGTTTATGTGAATTATTAAATGTAGATGAAAAGAAAGGAATAGCATTAAATTCGATTACAAAAAGGGTTCAACAGTTTGGAAATAATTTATTACCCCCCGCTGAAAGACAAAGTTTCTTTGAAATATGGCAGGACGCACTTGGAGATCAAACGCTGTTAATTCTTATTGCGTCTGCAGTCGTTTCTCTTATATTGGCTTTTATTGTACCACATGCTAAAAAAGAATGTTCAAGTAATATTGATACGGAGCCACCAGATTACTATGAAGGAATTGCAATATTAGTTGCAGTTTTTGCTGTTAGTTTAATTGGTGCATGGAATGATTATTCGAAACAAAGCAAGTTTATTGAAATTGCTTCAAAAGAAACTGATTGTTCTGTTAAAATAATTAGAGATGGTGTTCCAATGGAGTCAACTTCTTCTCAATTAGTTGTTGGAGATATTGTTTATTTATCTGTTGGAGATGTATTACCTGCTGATGGTATTTATTTAAAAGGAAATGGAGTTAGAATTGATGAATCAGAAATGACTGGAGAATCTGCTTCTGTAAAAAAATCAGAAGACAATTTTGTTTGTTTATCAGGATGTACTGTTACTGATGGAAATGGTACAATGGTTGTTGTTGCTGTTGGACAAAATTCACAATGGGGAAAGTTAAAAGGATATGTTAATAAAGACAAACAAAGACCTACTCCATTACAAGAAAGGTTAGATGAATTAGCTGAAAATATTGGTAAAATGGGTATGTTTTGTGCTGCAGTTGTATTTATTGTATTAACATTATGGTGGTTTTATAAAGCAATTACATTTACTGGATATGTTCAACCTGATGACCATTGTAAATTATGCTCTCCAACAGAAACAAACAATTGTGTTGCTGCAAAATTTAACTGGTGGAGAATTACTGATTTAGTTGATTATTTTATTATTGCTGTTACTATTGTTGTTGTTGCAGTACCAGAGGGGCTTCCATTAGCAGTTACTGTGTCTTTAGCTTATTCAATGAAACAAATGATGGCAGACAATAATTTAGTAAGACATTTAAAAGCATGTGAAACAATGTCAAATGCTACTTGTATTTGTTGTGATAAAACAGGAACTTTAACTGAGAACAGAATGAGTGTAACTAATATTTGGATTGGAAATGAAGTTATGGAAGTTGATCAAACCAATAAAATACCAATAACAGGAGAACTTCTTCATCATTTAAGTGTTAACATTGGTATTAATACATCATTATCATCTAACATTACATCATCTAATCAAGCCATTGGAAATGAAACTGATTGTGCTTTGTTGTTATTTTTAAAAAAGATAGCAATGTCACCATCATTAATAAGAAGTACTAATACTATTTCAAGGCAATGGGTATTCAATTCAGAAAATAAAAGAATGGACACAGTTAGTGATAATTGTATTTATTCAAAAGGGGCACCAGAAATCATTATTGGAGAAAGTATGTATTATTTAAATCAAAATGGAGAAGAAGCTGAATTTTATGAAGACCAAAAAGATCAAATTAATCAAATTATTGACCAATGGGAAAATAAAGGAAAACGGGTTATTGCTCTAAGTTATAAAAAGATGGAAGAAAAAGAGTTTCAAGAATGGAACAATACACAA